TTAGAGTAATAAAAAGTATATTTATTATTTCATCCGTCACAAAATAATTATTATTTCTTTTACTTTAATATATTCAAAATTAGTTATCATTTTTGCATATTTGTAATTTTTTAAATTGATAATATTTTTTTATCTTATTTTAATCCATAATTATTTATTTACTTTGACCAATCATTTTATCACAAAAAGTCTTTATTTATTTTTTAGAGTAATATAGGTAAATTCACAAATTATCTCTAAAAATGCTTTAGTTACAATATCATGTAATGTTATTTTTTAGAGTAATATAGGTTCATCATAGGCTACCCACGAGCTTGGGTTCGTCGCATGCTTCATATATTACTGTATACCATGGAATGCATCCTGAAATTTAAAAAAAAATTGGAATAAAAGACACATATCCAACTCAAAAGAAAATATCTTTCACCTCAACAACTCAATCTCTAACCATAGACATGAAGCATTGCCTAAAATCATCACTAAAATTAGCACCCAATTTGCATAATTCAGAATTTTACCTTCAATCCAAGCAAATACCATCAATCGATAAATTGACTAAATGAAATAGGAAGCTCACCTTGGTTCTGAGCTCAGAATTGAAGTCGTACTTATCGAGAGCTGCAACGAACCTAGGCTCCTGGGTAGCCTGCGACGAACCTAGCTCGCGGGTTCACAAGGAACCCAAGTGCTTGGGTTCATCGCGAACCCGTAAGCTGGGTTCCTCGCGAACCTGCAAGCTGGGTTCCTCGCGAACCCAAGCTCTTAGGTAGCCTGCGACGAACCCAGCTCGTGGGTTCACGAGGAACCCAGGCTTCTGGGTAGCCTGCGAGGAACCCAGCTTGCGAATTTGCGAGGAACCCAAGCTCCTGGGTTCCTCGCGAACCCAAGCTCTTGGGTTGCTTGCGACGAGCCCAGCTCGCGGGTTCGTGAGGAACCCAAGCTCTTGGGTACCCTACAACGAACCCAGCTTTCGGGTTCGCAAAGAACCCAGGCTCTTAGGTTCCTCGCGAACCCAAGCTCCTGGGTAGTCTGGGTTCGCTTGGGGGGGTAAAAGGAAAAAAAGATCGGAGGAAGTGGACTGTGGAGTCCACGTGGAGGGTAACGTGTAGTCTACGTGGAAGATGACCTGGAATCCACGTAAACATCTTTTATATGTTGGCATATCCACATCAGCTGTTTCAGTTAAGTTAACGTGCCACATGAGCAAAAATTAACGGAATAACAAAAAAGGAGCCGGATTTGTGAACAGTAAAAACTAAAAAAA